GTCTGGTGGAGGTAATTGGCAGCAGGCGGTCTCTCAAGTACCCAGGTCCAATACCATGAAGGGCTTTATAAGTGACGACTAGCGCCTTGAAGCGTTTTGATCTTGGTTGGTCCTATTGAAGATCATTTAGCACTCATAAAGAATCCTCTGCTTAATGTTAAAAACTGACAAGTTGTTTAATTTTTATATTTTAAAGGGCTAGCGGGGCAGGGGATTGAAAAAGACACTAAATCTGCCAAAATCACCAATGAGAATAGTGAAGATTTATCATTGTTCCTTCTTCAGTATTAGAACTTGGGTGTTTTTCTTAAATCATTGTGGCTGTGCAGAACTTCCAAAATTGGGAATCTTGTTCTTGCCGCCATATTATTTCATCGGCATGCACCTTGTCTTTCCATCTGCAGCAGCGTCAAAAGGCTTAGAAATGGCCAGTGGTCAGTCAAACTGCTTTCACTGCAAGGATTCGCTTTGTGGGAAACGATACATCATGAAAGAAGAAAACGCTTTCTGTGTGAAATGCTATGACAGCCTCTTTGCTAACTTTTGTGAAAAATGTCATAAAGCCATTGAATGTGACTCCAAGGTAAGCACTAGTTAGTTTCAGGACCATCTGTACTCCCTTTGAAAAATGAAAAAAAATACCCAGAGCTCAGCTATGCAATTATTATTTGTGATGTGAATCTTTCTTCTCTAATAATTTGGAGATTCTGCCTAATGCTACTCTTACATTAATGCAACTATAGAAACTGATCCATCTTAGATTGTCTGAGCTGGAATCTTCCAGCCTCATGGGTTCATTTTCAGCATGTTTTAAGTCAGCAAGGAACAGAAGGATGCCATTACTTATTTAAAACTTTGGAAACATTTGATTTAATGTGGGTAACGAATTTAGCACTGTAGTACAGAACCATTTTTGTGTGTGTGTGTGTGTGCTATCTGATGTAGATGTTCTAAATGAAATGACCTACAAATTAGCAATCTGCTACTAGTGTGACCCGGGATACCTACCTTAGCACCTGGCTAATTTACCATCTGTTCTGACCTAGGCTTCCCAAGAGGATGAAGCAAACTCCTTGTCCTGACAAAAACCCCTTTTATTAATTTACTGTGAATTCTGCTCATTCATATCCATCAAAGTATTTCAAGGGAGGATTTAGAGTCACA